CACAGGGACCCACCGAGGGGCTCCCCCTCTGAGCTACACACGCAGCGACCTGGGAGCAGAGACACCCTGATACACAGGCACACAAACCAACTGCCCCCCCCCCCCACGCACACACTGACCCTGAGAAATACTCCCCACCACTCACACATTGACACATGCCCATGCAGCGATGCTGCTACGATACTTATCAATCCACTCCCCTCCCAGAGCCGGGGACAGAACCCAGGAGTTCTGGCTCCCAGGCCCCACTGCTCTAACCCACTAGACCTCACTCCCTTCCCAGAGCCAGGGATAGAACCCAGGAGTCCTGGCTCCCAACCCTAAACCCTAACTGGTTTTGTGCTGTCTGCAGGCTCAGGCAGGATGTACAGCTTCATGGCAGGGGGTCTTTTCTGCGCCTCGGTCGGGAACATCCTGCTGGTGGTTTGCACAGCCACTGACTACTGGGTGCAGTACCGGCTCCAGGGAACCTTGGCCCACCAGGGCCTCTGGCGGTACTGTCTGGCGGGCAAGTGCTACATGCAGATGGAGAACATTGGTAAGGACCACTAGGGGGTGCTGTGCTGCAGGGAGTGGGGTGGGGGCTCTCCCCTCGCAGGCAGGGCTGGCGCCGATGCGCTAGGGGGCGCTGTGCTGCAGGGAGCGGGGTGGTGACTCTCCCCTGGCAGTCAGGGCTTGCCCCAATGCCCCCAGGGCGGCGCTAGGGGCACTCCCAGAGGCCTAGCATGTTCTCCAAGAGGCATTCGGCTTCCCTAAATCCTCCCTCAAGCTGAGATTTTCATTTGCTTCCCCTCCTAAATTGCACTGAATTGTGAATTAACCAGCCACTGTGCCCTGCCCCAGAGGTGGCTGCATCTCAGCACCAGGCGAACCAGCCCCGCATGGTGTTATGTGTGGCTGTTCCACAGCTGCTCTGCCCCAGAGGTGGCTGCATCTCCGCAGTGGGCGAACCATCCCTGTGCAGTGTTATGTGTGGCTGTTACCCAGCTCTCCCGCCCCAGAGGCAGCTGCATGTCTGTGCCAGGAGAGCCAGCCCCATGCAGCATTACATGTGGCTGTTCCCCAGCTTCCCTGCCCAGAGGTGGCTGCATCTGCGCACCAGGCGAGCCGTCCCCTTCTAAACAGGAGCGGTTTTGAGTGTTTTCTCCCCGCTGCTCTAGCCTACTGGAATGCCACCCGGGCCTTCATGATCCTCTCTGCCCTGTCCTGCTTCGCTGGCATCATCACGGGGATCTTGTCCTTTGCCCACCGATCCACCTTCGAGAAATTCAACCGGTCGTTCGCTGCTGGGATAATGTTCTTCGTCTCCAGTAAGTGTCTGCCCACTGCCGCGGGGACCCCAGCTGGCCACCAAGACACAAGGAGGAGAGCAGGGTCTAGTGGTTAGAGCGGGGGGGCGGGGGCTGGGAGCCAGGACACTTGGGTTCTTTTCCCAGCTCTGGGAGGAGAGTGGGATCTAGTGTTTAGAGACAGGGGGCAGTGGGAGCCAGGACGCCTGGGTTCTTGCCCGGTTCTGGGAGGGGCGTGTGGTGTAGTTACACTTCCCAGGCAGGAGGGCCTGAGAATCAGGACGCCTGAATTCTCTCCCCAGCTCTGGGAGGGGAGTGGGGTCTAGTGGTTACAGTGGCGGGGGAGGGGCTGGGAGCCAGGACTCCTGGGTTCTAGCCCAGCTCTGGGAGGGGCGCGGGGTGTAGTAGTTAGAGCAGGGAGGGGCTGGGAGCCAGGACTCCTGGGTTCTATCCCAGCTCTGGGAGGGGCGCAGGGTGCAGTGGTTAGAGCAGGGGGAGCAGGGAGGGGCTAGGAACCAGGACTCCTGGGTTCTATCCCAGCTCTGGGAGGGGAATGGGGTCTAGTGTTTAGAGACGGGGGGCAGTGGGAGCCAGGACACCTGGGTTCTCGCCCGGCTCTGGGAGGGGCACGTGGCATAGTTACACTTCCCAGGCATGTAGCGGTTTCTCTGGCCTCTTGTCCTGCCATCGGTCTCTCTGCCCCACCTCCTCCAGCGCTCTTCGTCCTGCTCGCCATGGCTGTCTACACCGGAGTCACCGTCAACTTCCTGGGCAAGCGGTTCGGGGACTGGCGCTTCTCCTGGTCTTACATCCTGGGCTGGGTTGCCCTGCTCATGACCTTCTTCGCAGGTACAGGCCCTTCCCCTCTAGGGGGCGCCAGCTCTCATCCAGCCCCGGGGCGGTGGGGGCAGTGTGGGGGCTGGCAATGGGGCCTTTCCCCTCTGGGGGTGGCAATAGGGCACCTTTCTCCTCATCCAATTCCTTGTTTCACACTCCCTGTCCAGGAATGCCCCGCCTCTGACAAGTAACCCCCTCCCAGAGCCGGGGAGAGAACCCAGGAGTCCTGGCTCCCAGCCCCCCCTGCTCTAACCACTAGACCCCACTCCCCTCCCAGAGAACCCAGGAGTCCTGGCTCCCAGCCCCCCCCTGCTCTAACCACTAGACCCCACTCCCCTCCCAGAGAACCCAGGAGTCCTGGCTCCCTGCCCCCCTGCTCTAACCAC